CCCGGTCATTGTCACCCGGACAGTGTCACCCGGACAGTGTCACCCGGTCATTGTCACCCGGTCATTGTCACCCGGTCATTGTCACCCGGACAGTGTCACCCAGTCATTGTCACCCGGTCATTGTCACTCGGTCATTGTCACCCGGACAGTGTCACCCGGTCATTGTCACCTGGTCATTGTCACCCGGTCATTGTCACCCAGTCAGTGTCACCTGGTCATTGTCACCTGGACACTGTCACCCGGTCATTGTCACCCGGTCATTGTCACCTGGACACGGGGTCACTGGGACAGGGTCACATGGTCATTGTCACCGGGATGGAGTCACATGGTCATTGTCACCTGGACATTGTCACCTGGACACGGGGTCACATGGTCATTGTCACATGGTCATTGTCACCTGGACATTGTCACCTGGACATTGTCACCTGGACACGGGGTCACATGGTCATTGTCACATGGTCATTGTCACCTGGCTGGTGTCACCCTCCCCAGCTCCCTGTCTCCCCTTCTTGCCAAGTCCCTGAGATGTCCCTGAGATGTCCCTGAGATGTCCCTGAGATGTCCCTGAGGTGTTCCTGAGGTGTCCCTCATGTCCCTGAGATGTCCCTGAGGTGTCCCTGAGGTGTCCCTGAGATGTCCCTGAGGTGTTCCTGAGGTGTTCCTCATGTTCCTGAGATGTCCCTGAGATGTCCCTCATGTCCCTGAGGTGTCCCTCATGTCGCTGAGATGTCCCTGAGATGTCCCTGAGGTGTCCCTGAGATGTCCCTGAGGTGTCCCTGAGGTGTTCCTCATGTTCCTGAGATGTTCCTCCTGTCCCTGAGATGTTCCTGAGATGTTCCTCATCTCTCTGAGATGTTCCTGAGGTGTCCCCACCACGTCCCCACCATGTCCCCGTCCCCCCAGGCCTTCAGCCGCGCCCACCGCATCGGCCAGGCCAACAAGGTGATGATTTACCGCTTTGTGACGCGGGCGTCGGTGGAGGAGAGGATCACGCAGGTGGCCAAGCGCAAGATGATGCTGACGCACCTGGTGGTGCGCCCGGGGCTGGGCTCCAAGGCCGGCTCCATGTCCAAGCAGGAGCTGGACGACATCCTCAAGTTCGGCACCGAGGAGCTCTTCAAGGACGAGAACGAGGGTCAGCTCCAGCGTGGGGTGGGGTGGGGTGGGGTTCTGGTGGGTTCTGATGGGTTCTGGTGGGTTCTCCTGGGTTCTTCTGGGTTCTCCTGGGTTCTGATGGGTTCTGATGGGTTCTCCTGGGTTCTTCTGGGTTCTTCTGGGTTCTCCTGGGTTCTTCTGGGTTCTGATGGGTTCTGATGGGTTCTGATGGGTTCTTCTGGGCTGGATTGGGTTCTTATGGGTTCTTCTGGGTTCTCCTGGGTTCTCCTGGGTTCTCCTGTGTCCTTCTGTTTTCTCCTGGGTTCTTCTGGGTTCTCCTGGGTCCTCCTCTGTCCTTCTGGGTTTTTCTGGGTCCTTCTGGTTTCTCCTGGGTTCTCCTGTGTCCTTCTGTGTTCTTCTGGGTTCTCCTGTGTTATTCGGGGTTCTCCTGTGTCCTTCTGGGTTCTCCTGTGTCCTTTTGTGTTCTTCTGGGTTCTCCTGTGTTCTTCTGGGTTCTCCTGTGTTATTTGGGGTTCTCCTGTGTCCTTCTGGGTTCTCCTGGGTCCTCCTGGCTTCTCCTGGGTTCTCCTGGGTTCTCCTGGGTTCTCCTGTGTCCTTCTGTGTTCTTCTGGGTTCTCCTGTGTTATTCGGGGTTCTCCTGTGTCCTTCTGGGTTCTCCTGTGTCCTCCTGGGTTCTCCTGGGTTCTCCTGGGTTCTCCTGGGTTCTCCTGGGTTCTCCTGTGTCCTTCTGTGTTCTGCTGGGTTCTCCTGGGTTCTCCTGGGTTCTCCTGGGTTCTCCTGTGTCCTTCTGTGTTCTCCTGGGTTCTCCTGTGTTCTCCTGGGTTCTCCTGGGTTCTCCTGTGTCCTTCTGTGTTCTGCTGGGTTCTCCTGGGTTCTCCTGGCTCCTCCTGGCTTCTCCCGGGTGACGCGGCGCGTCCGCGCAGGGGACAACAAGGAGGAGGACAGCAGCGTCATCCACTACGACAACGAGGCCATCGCGCGGCTGCTGGACCGGAACCAGGACGCCACCGACGACGCCGACGTGCAGAACATGAACGAGTACCTGAGCTCCTTCAAGGTGGCCCAGTACGTCGTCAGGGAGGAGGACAAGGTGTGCCGGGGACATCTGGGTGGGGTGGAGAGCAGGAGATGTCGGGAGGGTGGAGGAGCTGGGGGTGGTGGAGATGGTGGTGGGACAGTGGAGATGGAGGTGATGGTGAAGGTGGGGATGGTGGAGATGATGATGATGGTGATGATGATGATGGTGATGGTGATGATGATGGTGATGATGATGATGATGGTGATGATGGTGATGGTGATGATGATGATGGTGATGATGATGATGGTGATGATGATGATGGTGATGGTGATGATGATGATGGTGATGATGATGACGATGATGGTGATGATGATGATGATGGAGACGATGATGACGATGATGATGGTGACGATGGTGATGATGATGATGGTGGTGGTGATGATGATGATGGCGATGATGATGGTGATGACGATGATGATGATGATGACAATGACAATGATGATGATGGTGATGATGATGATGATGATCATGATGAAGATGACGATGATGATGACAATGATGATAATGATGATGGTGATGACGATGATGATGATGATCATGATGAAGATGACGATGATGATGACAATGATGATGATGATGACAATGATGAGGATGATGATGATGATGATGATGATGATGATGATGACAATGATGATGACAATGATGATGACAATGACGATGATGTTGATGATGATGATAACGATGATGTTGGAGACCATGACGACGATGACGATGGAGATGATGATAGTGTAGATGACGATGATGACAATGATGGAGACAACCACCTCAGGAACACCAGCACTGGGGACACCATGCCCCGCGTTGACCCCAGCCCCTGGGTGACCCCTGGGTGACCCCTGGGTGACCTTTTTGGTGACCTTTTGGTGTCCCCCGGGTGACCCCTGGGTGTCCTGCAGATCGAGGAGATCGAGCGCGAGATCATCAAGCAGGAGGAGAACGTGGACCCCGACTATTGGGAGAAGCTCCTGCGGCACCACTACGAGCAGCAGCAGGAGGACCTGGCCAGGAACCTGGGCAAGGGCAAGCGCGTCCGCAAACAGGTCAACTACAACGACGCCGCCCAGGAGGACCAAGGTGGGCACTGGGATGGACTGGGATGGACTGGGACAGACTGGGATGGGACTGGGATGGGACTGGGAGTGACTGGGATGGACTGGGATGGACTGGGAGTGACTGGGATGGACTGGGATGGGACTGGGAGTGACTGGGATGGACTGGGACACACTGGGACGGACTGGGATGGAACTGGGACAGACTGGGATGGACTGGGAACCACTGGGAGGGACTGGGATGGACTGGGATGGACTGGGATGGACTGGGAACCACTGGGATGGACTGGGATGGACTGGGATGGACTGGGATGGACTGGGATGGGACTGGGATGGACTGGGATGGACTGGGATGGACTGGGATGTCCCCAGATAACCAGTCCGGGGTGGCACTGGGACACACCGGGGTGGCACTGGGGTGGCACTGGGATGAACTGGGACATACTGGGACATACTGGGATGTCCCCAGATAACCAGTCCGAGTACTCGGTGGGATCCGAGGAGGAGGACGAGGACTTCGACGAGCGGCCGGAGGGTGAGCGGCACCTGTGTCACCTTAATGTCACCTGTGTGTCACCTGTGTGTCACCTGTGTCACCTGTGTGTCACCTGTCACCTCTGTCACCTCAGTGTCACCTTAATGTCACCTGTGTGTCACCTGTCGCCTCAATGTCACCTCAGTGTCACCTGTGTGTCACCTCTGTGTCACCTGTGTGTCACCTGTGTCACCTCAGTGTCACCTCAGTGTCACCTGTGTGTCACCTGTGTCACCTGTCACCTCAATGTCACCTGTGTGTCACCTGTGTCACCTCAATGTCACCTCTGTGTCACCTGTGTGTCACCTGTCACCTCAATGTCACCTGTGTGTCACCTGTGTGTCACCTGTGTCACCTCAATGTCACCTCTGTGTCACCTGTGTGTCACCTGTCACCTCTGTCACCTCAGTGTCACCTTAATGTCACCTGTGTGTCACCTGTGTCACCTCAATGTCACCTGTGTGTCACCTGTCACCTCAATGTCACCTCAGTGTCACCTGTGTGTCACCTCTGTGTCACCTGTGTGTCACCTGTGTCACCTCAATGTCACCTCAATGTCACCTGTGTCACCTGTGTGTCCCCAGGGGGGGTTGTTGTCCCCAAGGGGTGTCAGGGTGTCCCCAAGGGGGGTTGGTGTCCCCAAGGGGGGTCACGGTGTCCCCAAGGGGTGTCAGGGTGTCCCCAGGGGGGGTCAGGGTGTCCCCAAGCGGGGTTTGGTGTCCCCAGGGGTGTCAGGGTGTCCCCAGGGGTGTCAGGGTGTCCCCAAGGGGGGTCACGGTGTCCCCAGGGGGGTCAGGGTGTCCCCAAGGGGGGTTTGGCGTCCCCAGGGGTGTCAGGGTGTCCCCAAGGGGGATTTGGTGTCCCCAAGGGGGGTTGCTGACCCCTCCCCTCCCCCAGGCCGCCGTCAGTCCAAGCGGCAGCTGCGGAACGAGAAGGACAAACCCCTCCCCCCACTGCTGGCCCGGGTGGGCGGCAACATCGAGGTGAGGGGACGGGGACAGTGGGGACAGGGACAGTGGGGACGGGGACACTGGGGACAGGGACAGTGGGGACGGGGGCACTGGGGACGGGGACAGTGGCTGGGGACGGTGACAGTGTCTGGGGGCAGTGGGGACGGGGACACTGGGGACAGGGACAGTGGGGACGGGGGCACTGGGGACGGGGACAGTGGCTGGGGACGGTGACAGTGTCTGGGGGCAGTGGGGACGGGGACACTGGGGACAGGGACAGTGGGGACGGGGGCACTGGGGACGGGGACAGTGGGGACGGTG